CGCGGCTGCGTCAATGCTGCCACATGCGCAATGTCCCCATTAACAGCTTCCTTTGGTCACCCACAGCCCAGGCTCTTGGGCACTCTGGCACCATGACCAAATGCCAGAGGGGTCACAAGGACCCTCCAGGTGCCCGGRCCAGGAGAATATCTGCCTGAGATGCCTTGGCGAGCAGCCAGCCAAGCTCTCCACACAGGTCCCTGCATCTCCAAAGAGCCTTCCAACATCGCTGCGTCTCCAGGCCTTACCCACTGCAGGGATGGGGCCGGCGAGAAGGGGACGTTTGGGTCCGTGCTCTGAGACACAAGCCCTGCTGTCAGCCGCGGCGCTGCCACGCAGCCTCGCAAGCCGGCTGCCCCCCTTCCTCCCTTGCRCGCTTAATCCCGCGGAGAAGATCTCGACCCGGCTCGTTCCTCCATCTGCTGAGGCGGCCGGTGCCAGCAGGAAACCCAATCTGGCGCTGGGGGGAGGAGACCAAACAAAGACTTTTATGTACATCAGAAAAGAGGTATTTGAACAAAAACAACCCCGAGCCTGTTTTCAGCTCTGTCACGAGCCTCGCCGATGGAGATTTTCCTATTCCACGTCCTACCTGCTGCTCATCTGATGCCCAGCAAAGACAGAGCGCACTCAGATTTCGCTTCCCAGGGCGGGCCACACAACTGGGCACAGCCAGACCCCTCTGCCCTGTGTCCCAGCCCAACCCCGTGCACATGCCATGGGCAGGAGTTGCCCCCGATGYTCCCCAGACCTTCGGTCCCTAAGATCCTTCAGCCCCTTGAGGCTGAACCTTGGGAAGGCCCYGGGAGCCGCTCACCCCGTCTCACAGCTGAGGCAGGAGAGGCCCCGGCGCTGCCACCACAAGGTGCTCAGCCAGAACGTGCCCTCCGAGGCTCAACCAGCAAAGGCAGAAGTGCATCCTCCTCCTCATGAAGTGTCGTGAGCCGAGCTCAGCTTCCTGCCCAAGGACATCGGCTTCRCGCTTACTGCTGGTGCGGAGCAGCACCCGCATCATGCGGATGGGAAGGGCTCTGGATGCCTTGTCACAGCTGGACAAACRCCCCTTCCCCACAAACGATGCCCGTCCAGCCCACCATCCCCAAGGTGCCGCGGCCCCAGCGCAGGGCACGGCCCTGGTGCCCCGCTCCTCACACCAGCCCCTCGTCCGCAGGGCTGCAGGGCACATCCCGCGGAGCACAGCAGGGATGTCCACGGCTGCAGGGAAGGAATGGGTGCGGGAGCCACCCTTTCCATTCCCAGCCTATTACCGCATCCCACAAGGAGCCCCTGTTTCACAACCGCCAGGCTCTGTCCTCACCCTCCTCCCTGGGAGCACAAGCTGCCGTGGGAAGACAACAGGAGCCACGGCACAGCCCTGAAACGTCCGAGAGCTGCAAGTCACAGCGGGCTGGGCTCTGTGCGACGTCTCGTCATGTGCATGGGGCTGGGGACACTGCACGGGCAGCCCTGTGCCCTCCCCGCCCAGCCTCTCCCTTCATCCTCTTGAGCCTTTGGCAGCGCAGGGAGGGGAGCAAGGAACAAAACTTCACCTTTGCCCCCTTTCTCAAGGGAGGGAGGCAGCGGGCGCCCTGTGGACACAGGGATGGGGACACAGGGATGGGGACACAGGGATGGGGACACAGGGATCAGGACACAGGGACGGGGAGAGGTGTCCACGGGGCTCCACCCCGCGCTCAGTGCAGGGGTCCCGTCAGGAAGGCGTCGCGGAGCCGCCGGCCTCCCGGGCCCGCCGCCGCCTCCGCGCGGCCCGTGCCCCGACACGACGCAGCTGCGGCGGCGCCGGCGTGCCAGGACCGGCCCTTCCCCTTCGGCAGGAGGTGCCGGCGGGCTGCCAGCGCCGCCCGTTCCAGATGAAAGGGCAGCTCGAGCCCCCCARGGTGGCCTCGCTGGGGCCACGGAGCCCGCAGAGGTGGCGGCGCTGCCACGCTGGGTTTGCCTGCAGCCACTCGCTGCATCGCCCCACTGCCCCAGCCCGGCCAGGGCTCGAGCCCACGCGGCAGCCCCAGCACCAAGGCCGGGATCCGTGAGCGCCAGCTCCCGCCAGCCCCACTGGCAGGGGCTCCTCCGCACAGCGGCCGAGGAAGCGAGCGTCACGTCCAAGGAAGCGGCGGCAAGAGCCCCTTCCTGCTCCTGCCACGAGCCCGTCTGAGTCACGGCCGGCTGATCCCTGCTTCCCGTCACAGGGAGGGGGAAGGAGGGGGGACGGGGCTGCCATCGTGGCAGCCAGGGCAGGGGGACCTGCCGGCCCGGCCAGGAGRCAGCAGAGCCCAGAGCCCTCGGGGGCTGCAACCTGGCACTGGGGTGGCCAGGGAGAGTGGCCACACCAGCATCACCTCCCRGGACAGCAACGTCCTCCAAGCCACAGAGACTGTCACGTTTGACTCCGGTTGCTCCCCAGCTGGTGCAGAAATCCCCCCTGCTATCACCTGGGACGAGCAGAGCTTGAGCCCGAAGCTGCAAGCTCAGCATGGACAGGGAGGCCTGGGCCTGCAGGAAGCCCAGCCCTGGCCCTCCCTGAACCCACAGCTGGTTTCTTTAGCAATCCAGGGCCCAGTGACTCGCAGGGGTGACGTGTGAGCTCCCCAGGACCCTCCCCGGGCTGCCTCCCACTTCTCCATTCCTCTGCTCACAGAGACACCTGAAATCTCTGCAGCGTTCGCCCTGACCCCTTGCAGCCCCAGCGTCCTGCCGGACATGGCACCCAGCAGCCCGTCTGCGGGACACCTAATGCCCACACCCGTGACATCCCGCAGCCCTGCCTCTGTGCCTGGGCACAGAGAACCGTGTGAGCCCCACAGTGCCTGGCAATGCTCTGCTGGCCACACCAGCGCTGGCCTTGGTGGCCACGCACCGGCCTGCGCTCCAGCCGGGGACGTCTGGGCAGGGTGGTGGACACTGTCCCTGGGCAGCCAGCAGAGCGGGTCAGCAGCAACCAGCAGCCCACCAAGGAAAGGAAGGGCGGCAGGGCGGCCAAAGGGTGTTGGCAAACAGGCTTTGGTGACTCAGACCACGACCATGTCCGACAGCATCTCCCCTGCACCAGAGACTGCTGTGCCGTGGAAGGCAGCAGAAGGAAGCATCTACCAGCTCCTCCATCCCCACAGCTCCCCAGACCCGCACACGGACACGGACCGTGTCCCGAACACACCGTCCCACGCTGCTGGGAGTGCAAAGAGCAGAGCAGCCCCGTGTCCCGGCGCTGCCAGGCCCTGCAGAGCCCCCTCGTCGCTGCGGCCACCACTGCGGGCGCTGGCAGCAGCCGGAGCAGCCAAGAACAGGCTGGGTGGGAAGGAGAGCCCTGCGTTTTTCCTGCCCGGTTGCTCTGCATGCCTGACAGCAAGTTGCGCCTTGCCTGTTTGGTTACAGCCCCTCCCGTCTCCGCAGCTCTTTTTTCCACCCCGCCAGGAGCCCGGCGCCGCTCGCAGCGCCTTGGAGAGGTGTTTGCCCAACACAGTGGGCTCTGCAGCTCGCAGGGCCCCCACGCCTGGGCTGGGAGTTGGGGATGGTGCGCGTGGTCCCTCACAGCGCAACCCCTTCCCTCCCGCCCTGTGCAGAGAGGCCACTGCCTCCCGGGTTTGTTTCCCCTTGCTGTGTTTCAAGGACTCCCAGGCACTTGGACCCCAGGCTTGAAGGCAGAGCAGCTTCCTTACAGAGAAACAGCAAGTCCAAGGGAGACAGGGGATGTGCTTTGCGCTCAGACATGCAACACACAGACAAACAGCATTTCAACACAGCATTTAGCGAGGGCACAACCGCCCCCGTCGTGTCCTCTTGCAGACCAGGCAACCGGACAAGTCTTTAGCACTGCAACATGAAAGCCGGCGCTCATGGGAGCTGCCCTGGGAGCTCGCGGAGCTGCCGGCGGATCCCGCRAGCCGGAGCTCTGCCCGTCCACCAGCCACGAGGCCTGGGCACGCAGCAGCCGCCRGCACGGGCGGCATCGGGACCGGCGCTCCCACGAACGCGCCGGGCCGCACCTGGGCATGAGGGTGTTGCTCAGGGTTCGCTGGCCCCAGCTAGAAAGTCCTTGAGCAGAAGGACTTCAGAGCCATTCGGGCTGCTTTATGATGAAGATATATACAGTGGCGCCGCCTCAAAAGYCCTGAAATGTCCCGAGCGCCCGAGCTCGCTCCAACGCACGGCAGGTCCCGTGCTCAGCAGCCCAACCAGGGACGGTTTGGGGGGGAGATTTACTTAATTAAGCCAAGAATAGGGCTTTTCTGCACAGCCTGAGAAGGAGCCCCAGGGGGGTGAATGTGCCACATCATATTTGACAAAAGCCGGTGCTTTGCACAAAATCCTGTCCATCCAGGAACCCCAATGTCCAGCAAATCACAGGAAGGAYCCTGCAGGCGTCCTGCTCTCGGCGCCAGAGGCGCTTTAGGGCAGCACTTTAGGACAGCCTGGGAAGATGAGCGGGCAGGGGCACAGTCAGCCGTGGACCCCTGGYCCCCAGCCCTGGGGGGCTCCTCCACGGACACCCCAGCGCAGGCATGGAGGCGAAGGCACAGTGCCCAAGCCCAAACACAAGCCCAAGCCCAAGTCCAAGCCCAAGCGTGGCTTCCCGGCTCACCAGCATCTCCCTCCCTTCCCTGCCCGCCAGCCGCTCCGCGCGGAGCCAACACAAACAGCGCGGCACAACCGGCCCTTTCACGGGGGCGGCCGATGGGCCCGTGTGTGTCCCCAGCCTGGCGCGCGGGCAGCTCCCAGCGCGGAGGCAGCACACGGGCGAGCTGCAACGCGGGGTGGCGGCGCACAAAGTTTGGGGGCTGCTCCAAGGCCGGGCGTGCGGGGAGAGCAGGCGCCGAGGGAGTCCCGGGATGCCCAAGCGGGGCTGGGGGAGCAAGGGCTCTGTGCACCCCTCGTCCCCACCGCTTAATACAGGGGATGGGCTACGGGAAAAAGGAACCGCCCGCTCATATCCCCCCAGCTGCGGAGCCCGGCAGGGACGGGGGCAGAGGGGGCGGCGGGGCCCTCACCTGCCACGTGCTGGCGGCGCCCCTCGTCCAGGTGCGTGGAGAGCACATCGCCCATGGCGAGCGGCGCGGCGCGGCGCGGGGCGGAGCGGGGCCGGGCCGGGCCGGGTCAGGCAGCGCGGCGCCCCATGGGCAG